ACTGCTACTGCTACTGCTACTACGTCCTCCGTCTCGTCGATTATGTGTTCCCAGGCCATCATCATGCAGCAGATCTTTAAAGCGATGGTGTACATGCATGAGGCGCGGAGAAGCTGCTAAGGGTATGTCGAGACTGTGCCTGACTGCTCAATGCTCAACCTGACACTTCGAAAATGTAAAGCCTAGGCGCTAACCCCGAAGTGCACCAAGCTCTGATCCGCACTTGCCCCTGCAGAATGGAGTCTGCCACCGCGACTTGAAGCCTGCTGTGAGCTCAGAGGGCTCGGCTTTGATATTGACCTCACTATCACGAAGGGAGTCATAGTATCATGACGGCACCAGAACTCCCGGTTTCAGAGTTGCGGTGATGTGTGCGCAATTAGATTGTTGTTTCCAGCTGCAGTATCGGCCTCATTTCTACACAGGTGACCAGCTCCCAAGCTTCGGGATGCGATGCACTGTGCTCATCATGCTTGCTTCGATCCTGCCCTGAATGAAAGGCATTGGCGAAAAGCCTTTCAAATGTACACTCTTATCACGCAGGGCCTGACTAAGTTCCAAGCCGAAGCTCATCCCAAAGACTCAAGCTGAAGTCGCCAGAGGTGTGACATAAGACTTCAGATCTTTCATGCCTTATGATGCCCCTGACAACCGGAAGCTTTAGGAAGCCCTTGCCCTCCTTGCGTAAGTTCGCCTGCAGCCGCCCGAAGCTCGCGCGCTTAAGGGGAGAAGCTGCTGACATTGTTATTGTTGTCGTGGTGATGAATACGAAGTACTTGGAGGGTCATGGGGCTTAGTAAGTAAGGTTATAAGTGCCCTAATTGGGGTTATAATTATAGTTACCTTATTTATAACCCTAGTTACCAAGTCCCATGATCCTCCAAGTAGTATGGATCCTTTCTTCTTACGACTAGAACTACTATGATTGTTGGCCTGTGGAGATATGCTTTGTCCTGACCCCGAGCCTTCGAGGAAAACTTCCTCTTTTTGAAGAAAGCGCCGATCAAAGGAGCTTCCCCGGAAATAGGGGGTACCTTATTTTGGGGTCCTTATAATAAGGATCCTACTATTTAGGGTACTATATCAGGGTCCCCTATTTTCGGAAGAATGAGGGCTCAGGGAGTTGAGGGTGTGACAGTGTAGGGTTTGCGGGTGGAAGGTTGAGATGTTCAGGGTTGTAAGACCATCACAGAAAGCTGTTTTAGCACGTGATAACTTGTATTGATGCTGTTATCACTACTTTTTTCATCATTCGGTATGTAAATCGTATTGCCTTTTTTCCAGTTTGTCACCGTGGTGATTGTCAGTACTTTGGTGCTATGGTTCGACTTGTGGTCATGACGTTGTTGATGACGATGATGGTGATGGTGATGATGGTCACAGAGCATGGCGTCATGGTGTCGCGCGTCATAACAGTTTGACGGGGATTGTTGTCTGGACCTTCTGACTTCAGGTTTGCCATTTGAATTCATAGCCGGCGGGTGATGACTCTGCCCCATTGTGTGTCACGGCATGGATCTGGAACTGATGTCAGATGTAGAATCTCGACCCGACCTCCCCCAAATCCGCAAACTCCTCAATGCCACCAGCGCCCACTCCAGACAACGTTCTCAAGATCATTGACTTCGGCATAGCCGCGCATTTCGAGGCACGGCGAAGCTGACGGCGAGCAAGAGTAGAAGCATTTAGCACGTGCTGGGACAGCAGTGGTACACCACTAAGAGAGAAGAATGATGCTGTTGCCTACTTCTGCTAGTATTGTTATTCTTATTACTACTACTACTACTACTACTACTACTACTACTACTACTACTATTACTTCTACTACTAGTACAAGTACTAGCCCTAGTACTAGTGTTAGTACCAGTACTAGTACTAGTCCTAGTCCTAGTCCTAGTCCTAGTACTAGTACTCGTTCTAGTGCCAGTACTAGTACTAGTAGTAGTACTAGTTCTAG